TGATCACTTGTGTTTTTTCTTCTTCCTGTTAGCCTTCTGCTTTGTTCTGTTCTAAGTACTTCTGTGCCGCTTTTGCTGATAGGCATGATTTATAATTGCTCTTGCTGTGGTGTGAATATGTCTGCCTGGTGTCTAAGCCTCTGTGGCTGGGTACACGTCCAGACACTTCAGCTGTTAAAGATGTTCTGAGCTGTGCTTTGTTCCAAGGTATCCTGTATTTCTGGCCCCACTGTTGGAAATTGGCTACGTTATCTCAGCCAGTAATAGCCAGGGGGTGTCTTGTGGGGTCTGCTTCTTCCAGCAACACATTGAGTCCTCGTTTCTGGGAGGTGCCTGCAAGAAGCGCCTGGATGGGCTGATTTTCTGTTGAACTTCTCACTTCTTCTAGGCATGTTTCTGCAAAATAATGGAGTTAAATGAGAATAGGGAGTGAGAGGAGGCATAAGGGAAAAGGGGAGGATGATATGGAGATGAAAAAGGAAGGAAGATGATAGGAAGACATGAAGGTTTAAATAGAGGTAGAGGGAAATGGAGAGAAGTAAAAGAAAGAGAAGAGACAGCAGTAATAATGATACTGAAGCAGAAGGAGAAAGCTAAAGAAGACAGAAAACCAGGATAAAAATGAAAGAAGGGCACAGAAATCTGCCAGCTGAGCAATAAGGGGGACAAAATAAACAAACAAATAAGCAACAAACACATCCATAGGTAGGGGAGAATTGCCTCTCAGACGTCTGTCTGAAGGCTCCCAGTTAGCTAATCCTTGTGTTTTAGGCTGGTCTTCTGGGGAGCCCCCTACAACTGGGTAGGGTAGCTTTCCCGGAGTCTGCAGTTTTCTTGGTTTTCTTTTTAGCCCCCCTGATGTAGTTGGGCAAGTAAAGGAGCTCCTGAGGTTTCTTTCCACCCCAGGGCTCGTAGTATTTGGAGTCTGACCTTAAAAGGCTCCTCCTTGGGCCCTCCTTGGTGGCGCAGCGGGTTAAAGCACAGCACAAAGAAGCTTAAGCCACTTCCGCATGAGTTTGATCCCCACCTGCCCCGAGGTTGACCACGTGGTGCTGCTCCCCTCAGCAGTGTACTTCGTCGATCTGCCTGTTCTGTACCCCACTCTGTC